TTTTGGAAGGACACGGCTGTGACACCTGACCCCAGGTGACCACAGGGATGTTCCACACCATGTGGCATGATGCTCAGCATGTAAAGCTGGGGGTAAGAAGGAAGGAGGGACATTTGAAGTGATGGTGTTTGCCTTCCCAAGTTGTCATTTCGTGTGATGGAGCCCTGCTTTCCTGGGAGGGCTGAACATCTGCCTGCCCACGGGAAGTGGGGGATTAACTCTGCATTGTGCTTTGCTCACACACACGGCTTGTGCTTTACCTGCTTTACCTGTTAAACTGTCTTTATTTCAACCCACGGATTTTCTCACACCCTTCCAGTTCTCTCTCCCATCCCCAGTGAGTGAGGGGCTCCATGGGGCTGAGTTGCCAGCATGGGTTAAACCACATTTTCCCACCACCACTGTCTCCAGAGCTGCTGTACAGTCTGACTCTGTGGCATCACCAGCCCTATGGTTACACACACAACTGTTTTTGCTGGTTTTGCCCCAGCAGGTGAGGATACCAGGCACTGTGGCATGGGTTTTCCTGCTTTGCCTGTGCCTGGGTTAAGAGCAGAGGAGGAGCTGGTCCGCAGGGGACTGGCTGAGGTCTTCACTGGCAGCCTGCTTCCACCCACACAGGAACATCAGGCACTTCACAGCCTCTACATATGATAAAAACGCGTCCCATGGGTACCTAATCTTACCTTGCTATTCTGCAGTGCTTGTGTTACTAAGTTGAAAAAACACACGACAGCACATTCCACGGTGGGCTCACACTGCCCCGTCCTCTCTCTGAAGTCACCTTGCAGCATTTAACCTGCAGGACTCCACTGACTAAACATCAGTGCCCTCAGGCTGGGAAGCAACAACTGGAAAAAACCAGCCAGCTGAAAGGCAGGGAGGTGCAGGGAGTGACAGCTGAGAACACTGGGATGGCTCCCTGCTCTCACAGGAAGGTGTGACAGAATTCATGTCCATGCACAGGGAGAGAGACTCTGCATTTAAACTATTATCATCTAAAAGACTCTTTGCAGAAATAGTTTCATAGTACTCATCTTCACTGTGAGGGTGGTGAGGCCCTGGTACAGGTTGCCCAGAGAAGCTGTGGCTGCCCCATCCCTGGAAGTGTCCAAGGCCAGGTTGGATGGGGCTCTGAGCAACCTGGGCTAGTGGAAGGTGTCCCTGCCTGTGGCAGCGGGGTGGAACTGGATGATCTTTAAGGTCTCTTTGAACCCAAACTAGTCTGTGATTCTGTGATCTCGGTGGGGATGCAGCACTCAGGTTTTACTTCTGGGCACTTGGGAGATCTTTTATGACCACAGTCTCACCCCACAGGGAATTTTTCTCTCAGAGGAGACAATCTGGTTTTAAAATGTTCCTGATTCTGCTGTACCAATTGGGAAGGAAAACCACATGTTTTCCTCCCATGTAATTCAATAATCAAAATGGCTTTATCAAAGCAGTTGAAGCTCCACAGCAGGGCTTGAGAGGATAACAGCAGAAGAAGGGTTAGCAATGCTCTGGGAAAGCCCAGCAGATAATTCAGGGCCATTTTGCTATGAGGACATGAGGTTAAAACTGCTGCTGGTCAAGCTGAATTGAACAGTGAGCTGAAATACTGGTGATAATACCTGCTATCTGAATTATGTGGGTAAACTGGGAAAAAAGGAGGCTGTTACTCACTGTTAAACATATTTTTCACCTTTTTGACACATTTGGTGCAAAAGTCTTACTTCAGTGCAAAACTATTCCAGCTGAAGCATGACATGTTCCATCTGTCCAAAATGTGAATTTTATGCAGGTCCACTCCCCATAATGTAAGTCTTCCCAAAAACAGATAAAGAATTTAATTGCTCGTGGCCAGAGCCCACTGGCACTTCTGAGCAGGGCTGTGTTTGATGAGCCTCACTCAGCAGGGATCTGCCTGGTGGAGTGAGGCACTTGGGGTGAGGTGCACCAACCCAAGCCTGTCCAAGGCAGAAATGGGTTAGAAAAGTTACATTTCTGTTACTGCATTGAAGCAACCATTCACACCCACCTGCTTCAGGAGAGGTCAGCATTTGCTTGTACATCCCGTGGATTTTTCAGTGCCTCTGGTGAGCCTCCTTTGGTGGTGCATCTGCTGCTGTTGGCTGTGGGCAGAGCGGTGCTCCAGAGTCAGCAGGAGAAAAGCAGACCTGCTGGCTTTTCTTGGGAGGACACTGGAAGGGACCCAAGGCATGAGCAGCTCTAAACCCGCTGGGTTTCCCACCCTTCACAGGTCAGGCCTGCTTTGCTTGCCCCATGGGGCTCACCCACTCATTCCTGTACCCTGACAGGTCCAAAAGGCAGCAGTTTCGCTGTGAATCAGCGTGTCCTTCACTCCAGTTTCCCTGGGGACACGAAGTGTCTGTTATAGACACAGGGAATACAGGGATGGGTGGTGCCCTGAGGACACGTGCCCTGTTTGCTTGGGCACACAAACCCAGCTGGATACCACCAGAGGAAGCAGTGACTTTCCTAAGTCTGGGATTCAGCAGGTGTGGAAAAAGCTATGGCATATTTTTAGCTCCTGAAAGAGCAGTGCAACCTGCAATGTAAACACCACTTGGCTTTTCCTCTAAACAGGGGTAGATTTTTTTATCAAGGCTGAGGCAGGGTGGTGAGTTGGCTCTTCTTGCTGCCCCACCATGAGTCAGGACCTCCGGGCTCTTCCCTCATTCACCATCCTCCAGCACCACAGCTGCTGGGTGACTTGGAATTTGGCACTGAACAAAACAGTTGGCTGGACTGGTGGCTCTCCTCCACCGTTCCCTTGACCTTGGGGAAGGCACATGAATGGACCAAATGTTCCGGAGCTGTTGTTTGATACAGCACCCACGCCCAGGTGAGCATCCCTTGCCTGCATTCCTCCCTCCCAGCCACACCTATCATACATTGCCCTCTCCATTATGGGCACCTAGAAAAACAAGCCAGAAAACTGATTTCACTGATGAGGGAATGTGGTGTGGGGGGAAAAGCTGCATTTTAGCCGGACATGGTCTGCATGTTCACTGTGCAGAGCTAGGGCAGCTCTGGGGACAAGATGGGCCCTGGCAGGCAAGACAGCAGTGTGGGTGGCTGGAGGCAAGGGCAAGGGCATGGCTGCAGCAGAGCTTTGTCAGGGGCTGAGGGAGAGATCCCAGGCTCTGTGGGACCCCTCCACACATAGAGCATCCCCACTGTATGCATTGAACCCTGTGGCAAACAGTGCCAGCACCCTGGTGCAGGCTGGACTCCTCGTGCCCTGGCAGGGGCTGTGGCCCTTCCCTCTCCACAGCTCCACTTCTGTTAAGTCCATGCAGATAACGAGCACCTTTAGGAATATTCCATGAGCACAAAGCTCAAACACGTCTGCCTTCCCCTTGCAGTGGCAAAAGGCAGCAGCACTTCCACCAGCAACACAAGTGTGGTTTGGTGGTGGGTGGTGGGGCTTTTTTTTTTTTTTTTTTCCCTAAAGGCATTTTATTGCTTTCATAAGGCAGCTTTCTGGACTGAAGTCCTCCCTTTATCTCCAGAGCCAGAACAGCTGATTGTACCCAGTAATTTTCCTGCTGGTGTCCCACGAGGAGGGGCAGCCCCACAGCTCAGTCCCAGGGGTGCCATTAGGCTGTGACTCAGCTGTCCGGAGGTCTTGCAAAAGTGGGGTGTGGGCTCTCGGTGCCCAAACCTGGGGGCTGCTGCTCACAGGGCACCGAGGAGCCCTGGATGTTTCTCTTAACAGCTGCACTGGCTAAAACCAGTGATCTGATTCAGAACCTGGTCTACTTCATAGGGTATTTCTTAACCTGCTCAGCCCCGTGCTCAGGACTGTGGTCACGGGCCGGCAGCAGGAGCAGGAGCCTCCATCCTGCTGGCAGGTGGAACTTGATCCCACACACTGCCAGCCACTCACTGTGCCTGGTTAGCCTTTGGCCTTATGCTGAAATGGTCTTTTCTTGCACAGGTGAGCCTGGGAGCAATGCTGGCCTTTGGCCTACTGGGCTGTGATATCAGGATCCTTTTTTCCCCCCCTCTGAGTGGACTGCCAAAAGGTGAAGGTGAGGCAGTGATCTGCACTTGCTGCTGGCAATGGCAGCGTTTCAAGTATCATATGGGAAGGATGTGTTAGATAAAGAAGATAAAGCTGAGGACAGAGCACCCTGTGTGTGTGAGGAGATATCTGAACACCAAGTGTGAAAGCCAGGAGATCATGCTGGCAGGACTGGCCCCAGCCCCAGAGGCAGGCAGAGGAAGCCCCCCTCTACCTATTTATCCCCCTGGCCTTTCCCTGTGTCTCTGAGATGGAACAACGTCCTGATGAGACTGGCCAGCAGGGTCCTCAGCTCTCTGGACATGGCTGAGCAAGGGCTGACCACATAAGGAAACAGGACCAAAAAACCAAGGGATGAGTGGTTTACTCACTTGCCCAGCAGATATAAAACCACCTTCATCGTGGTTTAACCTGAGCAACTGACCAAGACATCCAGTGACAGCACAAATAAAAAGCTCTGAAGTGACACAGACAGTCCCTTTGGTTCCTCCCAGCTGCTCCTGACACGCAGAACAACACCCACACAACTCATGAACTCACGCACCTTTTAATATCACAGCCTCACCACAATCCCCAAAGGACATTGCCTTCCCACAGAAATACAGGCTGGCCTGTGCCCCTCACATTTATTCAGGGATCTCTGTCCAACTGACCACACAGGCAACTGGTGCTGCAGGAACTGCAGCAGTGGCACCTGAGCCCTCGCTCTGCATCCCTCCCTTCATACCCTGCTCAGAAACACCAGCATTGGTCTAAAGCCATCCAGGAGAAGCAGAGGATGGGCTGGCTCACCCACAGTCCTGACGTGCCAACAGCTCTCTGATGACAGCAGGAAAGAACTGCAGAGTCTCACAGTCCACACACGGAAAGCGAGGGGTCTTCTGCAGCACACACAAATTTTACAGTCTAACACACTTATAAACTTGAACTGGCATTAAAAAAAGAAACAAAAACAACAACCCTAGAGTCATTCTGCAATCAAACAGGTTTTTATTGAACTCTTTATATTGCATGTTTGTGAACATTTGTGCAATAAATACAGCTCATAGTATTGATTTTTTTTTTCCTCAGGTCCTTAAAGCATAAGAATTCTTCCCTTTGTCGTTGTGGTGTGTTGATGCTACACTGTAAGAAAGGCTGTTGGATGACAGGGATAAGGCAGCTCCTGACAGTGAGTGTTGTGTGAAATTCGTAACAGCAAGCAGAAGTTTTCAGAAATGAGCTTAGTGGGCAAATGAGACTGGTCTGGCTGCTTAGAGGAACCTCTGCTAGCCAGAGTTCTAGAGTCAGCCACAGCTTGTGCAAGAAGTGGGAAATAACACTGAACATAACTTCAACATGATCCTTAAGTGATTGCCTGATAATTGCTTGTAAAATATTGTACAGATTTTACTGGATAATTGCCTTCAGGTGAGAAAATAAAAGCATTATTGTGGAGCCAACACAAGACCAAAAGGACTGATATTCTCTTACAGTGACACACAAATACAGCATAAATTGTTAATACAAATATCCATGTGCAAAATAGTTCTCAGGTTTAGTCAGCACTTGCATAACCAGCACAGGTAAACAGGAGATGCAAGGCACCCACTTCAGAAAAAATGAATAATACAGTTCTGTTCAAGCTCTGGCCTTGAGCTTCAGGTTAAAGACTGAACAAACCACAATGTCTTTCTTGGTCCTCAGAGTATTTGAAACAAAGATGAGCCCAGTGTTAATACAGCCTACCAAGACCAACCAGGACCAGGCCAGCAATGACGTTCTCAGATATGCAAAAAAGCATCACATTTATACAAGCTTTTGCAGGGAGAACTTCAGCCCTGTCCCCTTCTCTTTGCTGCCTTCGTCCCTGCTATGGGAAAGAGCTCTGGAAAGTTTTTCAGTCATTCAGCAACTCCACTTATTTCCCCAATTACTCTGGTCACATAGGGTTGCTACTGTGAATAAGAGGGGCTGGTGGCTGCCCTGCCTTTTCCTCCCTGTGCCAGTGTAGAACAGCAGACAGCTCCTATTCTTAACAAACCACATGGGCAGAGGGGAGCAGCTGGATTTCTTTGGAACCTTGGGCTTACTTGGATTGCTCTAGACTCACATTCCCTCTGCCCTACCAGCTCTAACCACCCCTTATTTCTCAGTCCACCATACTGCCTGTTTTCATGACACCATTGAGATTGAGGTACGAACAGTAAACTAACAAAACCAAGATTCGAATCTTTACACTTCTTTCTTGCCCACTAATTGTCCGGCCCACCTCCAACTGTTTTCTTGTGGTGCTGTTCTGAAGAGCAACTTTGGGAACCTCCTTCTACCTCCTTCACACTTCTTTCTGAATTCAGTTAGGTTGGGACATGGAACTTTTACAGGGAAAAGGGAAAAACCCCAGCTACTCAAGCACCTCCCTCCCTGCTGCCGTCAGCAAAGGTCAGATGGAAAATTTGGGGGGGAGGTGGGGTGAGGATCAGATAAAAGTCAGTAAAGCAAACATTCAAAAGCAGCAGTAATGCCAAAATTTAGCAGCACTGACAGCTACGATTGCAGCAAACACTTCAGGCTGTATCATCTAGCGAAGTACACAGGTTCTCTCTCAAGTGTGGGAATCAAAGGATGCAGTGAAAATACAAGTAATCAAAGAAATAAGTCTCTTGATCTTCCCTGTAAATTAAGAATAGACATGGAAATGTATGTGGCAACAGTATTGAAGTAACTGTGAAGGGGTTTAGAAGCTCAGCTGAAATACTGATGTCTCAAGGGGTACAACTGACCACTCACAGACTCTCAACACCGAGAAAAAAGGATGCCAGAAGCTCTGGAATCAAACATGGTGCCCTTAACTGCTACAAGATATTTATGACCCCTTGTGAAGAAGCTGAAAAACACAGTTTGAAAGCTGAGTTATGAGGCTCTGCCAAGCAGCAACAGGGGTAGGACAGAGCTGTTCAGCCCAGAAAAGCTAATACAGGCTTGAAAACAGTGGTTTTAACACACAGGTAACACACACTTCTGATACTCACATTAGCTCAGCTTTCCACAGTGAGAGGGAACAGTGAAAGAGAAATCACTGCACAGCAAAAGGGGAAAAAATATTAAAAAAATCAACCACACTTTAGAACCAATTATTATTGAACTTGTGTATTTTTAGACTTTTTAGTAGTTTATTCCAGAACTTTGAGAAAAATTGTCTTATAACCTAGGGAAGTATATGAATTTACTTGTTAAACTACAGTTAGGGGTAAGTATGGGTCATGTTAACTCAGCAATAGCCCTAATCTGAAGGGGTAGCCAATGTCTAAGGAAATAAATTGAACAAGGGCAGAATAAACTCAGCATTCAGCAGCATGGCACCAAAAAGTAATCAGAAATCAGCCTAAGCCTTTCTATTATTGCAACAAAGTTCATAACATGCACAAATTTAAGTTGAGAGAGAAGCAGCAAGAAAACAAACGAGGCTGTCACTGCTGGCAGGGGGACACCATCCTTGGTGTCACTTCTTTGGCTTGGACCTCTGGCCTCCCTTTTGATCACCTCCCTCCTCCATTACCCAAGGCACAACTGCAAAGGCTCTGCTGGATGTTCTTTGCTTCCACCACCTCTCTCCTCTGACCACACGCTTCCAAAATGGACAGCAAATCCTGCTGCCACAGGGAGGCCAGCAAGGTAGAGAGAAATCTACATACAGGAGGCAGTAACAGTGATTTTTTTAATAATCCCTTTGTTTTCTCTTGGCTGATTCACAACTCCCTTTTTACAAAGCCAACTTTACTGTCCTGCCAGCAATAGACCCAGCCTAAATAATTGGAGTTTTTTTAACTTGAGTGGAGAGACGAGCCAAGAAAAATGTCACTCTTGCTGATCGAAAATGCTCTTCTTGGCAAAAGGCCAGTCAGAATATGATCAGGGCAGCCTTTATGAAGGTCAAGAACAGCTACTTTTCTCCTGTCCCCAGAGGGTGACTCCACTCACTGAGAGCAGTGGCTGCACAGCTGGGGTTGCTGGTGCCAAGCTGTGCCAGGGCCATGCACATCAAACATGACTGAAGAGCCCAGAGTTACAGAAACAGTGAAAAGTTTCTGTCCTGCTGCACACCACTCTTGTGTACTCTTGACAATACCATTCCACACCATGTTTGGCATTTACTTCCAAACTTGGCTACAATGAATCCACCTAATGACAGAGTTTTTCTCCTGGAATAAGGCACTATAGTGTAGGACCATCTGGCAAAACTCATAAGAGTTTACAGCTCTTTGCCAGATTACCTTTGGCTCTTCTAAAACAGGCACAAAAAAAGCACTTTGAGATAAATGAAAAGGTGGGGAGACAAGGGGAAGATAACAGATGATACAGTGTGATTTTAAAAAGCCTTCAGGTAAGAAGCTTGGTCCTTTTAAATCTTTCCATTTATGTTTTCTTATCAGGGTGCCACTGGAAAAAAAAAAGGTCTGTCTTCATAGGGAAAGCTGGTGCACCATGAAAAACAAAACCACTAGTTTATGGTTGTCACTTCACTGCCATGTTTCTACTCAAACTAGTTTTTCCTCAGAATAGATGACTGAAGCAAGTCTCAGCTGCAACCCCCAGGATTTCCTCTTGTTTTACACTGATGCCACCAAAAGGGAAACCCTCCTTTTTTTATCCCCATGCCCCAGCTCCCACTTTTGTCTCCACACAGGCAATATCTACCTTAACCCCTCTGCATGGAGAAATTATCTGAAACTTTCCAGAGCTCTCTTGGGCCTCTGCTTCATTAACTCTTTATTTCAACACATTTTATGAGTCCGAGACAATGTTTTCGAAATCCAGACTTTAGACATAACGAGGAACATACCAGTTAACTTAGGCAATATTTTTTACACACACATATATATATGTATATGTATATATATAGGTAAAAAAATAAAATTGTCTTGATAAGAAACATTGGGTAAGGTGATTAAGAAACAAGTCCTCGGAAGCTGTGCAATACAGCAAGACACACTGGCTGTAGAGCTGACACCAGGATAGCTAACTGCTTATTTTCAGAATTAAAAAAAAAAAACCAAACAAAACCACACAACAAAAAACACCCTAAGACCATTCTACTCAAGGCCATTCTACTAAAGAAATAAACCTGATTCCTTGTTGGAGATTGCAAAACGTTGGTGAAGAGGCTCCACGTCGCCGCTTGGCTTTAGTTGGATTTCCTCTCCCGCTCTCGTGCGGTCACAAAGTTCAGCAGGTCGATGGCTGTGACGATGCCAAACACCATTTGCCTCTTGCTGGAGGAGCCATCAGTGTGATCTGCACGGAAACAAAGGGAATTCTGGCTTTAGCAGGCACAAACCCACATATCCCACTTGGTTTTAATGGCACGGCTTGTAAAGGCAGGAGCCAAACCATCCCAGCTCCACGTGGCAGGGTCTGGAGCTGGTGATCACTGGGGACCCTGGAACACAGAGGGGGAACCCAAAGGGCATCTTGGCCAACAGTCACAGAGGAAGTGACAAGGATTTTCAGTTCAGAAAGGCTCTCAACAAAACCGCAACACTATGGAAGGAAGGATAAGGGGCCACCAGATTTACTCTTTCTGACATGAAAATTCAAACCACATCCTCTGTTATAAAGTGTATTTTCCTCATACATTAGTTTCTGTGGCTCTACTTGAAACAGCTGCAAGTGACATCATCCCAGTGGAACCACTTTAATGGTCCAAAGGAATCACATTTTGAGGAGGAAACGTGACACTGCCATCTCCGTGCGCTGCTGTCAAATACAGGATCAGCACAAAGATCACAATACAACATTTTACCACTTATATTGAAAAAACTTAGTAACCATTTAATCTTTGCTGCATTGAGAGCACAGATGGAAGGGATTTTTTTTCATTTTGAGCATAAGCCTTTGACCTGGGAACCAAGTGGCCACATGACTTCTGGCCCTTTAACTAGTCTAAGTTCCCTGTTCCTAAAGTCTGGCTGTACTGAGATGTTTAGTCTACTTTACACTCAGTTTGTTCAGCCAGCTGGATTGTCCTGGGCTTTACACTTACTCAATCTCTGTTCCACTGCAAGCTTCCAGTGAGATTTTAGGTTTATAAATAGTCAGCACAGAGCCAAGAGCACATCCTTATGGAGATTATCAGGAGCAACCCCAAATTTGATGTCTATTCTTCTCACAGTTATAATTGAGATAGCTATCAGATAAATTTATCTGGTGAGTCTTAATGTTGTTTTCAGTCTAGTTTCTCAGAGTTTGTAATTTTACAGGTTGTCTGCCTCAAGCAAGATGAAACAGGAAAAAATACTATTGGCATATAACAGTGATATACCCCCAGCTTTGAAGATTTATTTAGTCATTTCCAGTTCATAAAGAGGGCAGTGTAAAGAGTTTTGAGAAGGATGAAGAAAAGTAGAGTTTGGAGGGTAAACATCAAGTGAAGTTAGTTTAAATAAAATAAACAGGAAAAAGAAATATTTTTGAGACAGTGATGTCAGTGTCAACATCTAGATCTTACTAACTTTTATGAAGTTGTAGTAATTTTTTTGCTTTAGAAAGACAAAAAATTGGAGAGTAGTTAACCTAGCAACCACAGAATTAAAGAGTTACTGTCTTACTAGACTCATAGAATGGCTTGGGTTGGAAGGGACCCTTAAAGACCATTTCATTCCAACCCCTTGCCATGGGCAGGGACACTTTTCACTAGACCAGGTTGCTCTGAGTCCCATCCAGCCTGGCCTTGGACACTTCCAGGGATGGAAGTTAGTGTTAGCAGCACACAGTTACGGAGAGGGAAGGAGGATTTGGCTTTTTCAGATCTTGTTTACACATTCACACTCGCTTCTTGTCACCACTCAAAGATTCCCTCTCACAAGGCACAAGCACATTGTACTTACACTGAATTTGCTCATGAACCACTAGAGCAAAGTGGTCTATTTCCAGGATATGAGAGAGTTTCCCCAAGTTGTCTTTCAGGTTAATCTGAGGAGAGAGATACAAAGCTTAAATAAAACAGTCCTTTCTGTGTTCAGTGGTTGATAAAACCCACATACTTCGTGCAGAACTAAAACCAATACATCAGCATTTGTTGCTGCTCTCATCTGAAGTATTGTAAAACGCCAACAAACCAAGGCCAACTTAAAAGATCGGTTTTCTTTGTTTCTAATTTCCAAGAAAACAAAGCACTACGTGAGATTACTCACTCTGACTCTGTAAACATAATGAATATACTGAATATCTGAAAAAAATGTCAATAATAGAAGAAGGTCAGGTGTTCCACATGTCTTAACAAAAGAAGTTACTATAAAACTCTTTATACTTGGTGATTTTCTTCCAGCAAGACTGGGAAAAAGTGAATGAATCAGGCTGCAAATGATTGTGGAAGTGAACACGATCTTCAAAGGTAGCAGGTGAAAAGCCCAAACAAGCCAAAAACATAACCAAAGGCAAAAGATTGCTGAGCTAACACTGTATTCAGGTGCAAATCAAGGAACTGAGAGTTAAGAATTCATTTTTAGTGAAGTTCAACTTTGCTAAGACTGAACAAGAAAGCACCATATGTTGACCCTGCAGAAATAAAGATACTTCCAGATCACTTCACTAATCACCTGCTGCAAACATTTAAAAAACTACATAAAACTGTTCTTAATATGATTTAACATATTAAGCAGCAGCCACAGGTCCATTACCCAGGTGACTCTCCCCAGGTCCATGCAGCACCCACCACCCAACATATTTTTATTAAAGGGGATTAAAGGAATTCACACCGAGGAAAAGTCTTATGCTGCAGATTCAAAAGGCCTTCAAAAATGAGCTCAGCTTGTGAGCGAGGAATAAATGCCACAGCATGAACAACTGGGCTGCACTGGAACACACAGCTCTGTCTCCATAGTTGGTGTTCGAAGATATCAAAAGGATCCCCAGTGTTTAAGGGACCAGCAGCCTGTAGTGCAGAGTGAGGCACCAATCCCTAAACCTGTGGGCCAGGCAAGGAGGGGGGTGGGAAATCTGGATTTACTGCCACATGGAGTCACCTATCAGTCACCACCACTGACAAAGTTTTGTCAAATGTGTGTGCAAAGCCCAGCTTTTGAACCCGGGTTCAAAGCTCCCTGAAGGGGTAGAGCCCCTTGCCATCAGACTGTGTATCGTCCATAGGGTTGTTTTCAGGGATTGGGTAGGCTCAAGGAAACCAGGATAAGCAGCCCCTCGGCAGCACTGGGACAACTATGAAGACATAAATATGTTTTGAGATGCTTAATGGATATTTAACAGAACCCCCATGGAGTTTTCACCTGTCTCACTAGCGCTCATTCAAGCTCCCTAAACATTTTACCACGAGTTTTCCCACATTTAGGCATTTTTTTAAAACTTACTAAGTTTTAAGGCAATGAGTCTACACATATGGTACTACACTACACCATGGAACTAACATCTCCCTCAAGGATGCTCCCCCTCTCCACTAGCAAACAGCACTTGTTTGGATTGGCAAATTATCCTGTGACTGGTGCTTCAAATTCCCAGAGCACTATCCTGCCAGGGACTTTAAAAAAGCTGTAACCATTCCTTTTCCATTCTAGGAGATTGCCACAAAATAATTGTGGTGATCCTATCAAAGAAAGCATCCTGCATTATAGAATCCACAGAATGGTTTGGCTTGGAAGGGGCTTTAAAGATCACCCAGTTCCAACCCCCCTGCCACGGGCAGGGACATCTTCCACTAGACCAGGTTGCTCAGAGCTCCATCCAGTCTGTTCTTGACCAGCTTCAGGGATGGCGAGTCCACAACCTCTCTGGGCAATCTAAAAAAGCTGGAACATACAAAAAGATACCTCTGCTTTGGTAGCCACAGGCTAAGCCTACCTCTTATTCATGCACACTGTGATATCCTATGTGGGATATGAGAAGTCATTTCAGTGGCACAGATGATCTGTTTTCCCAATTTCACCAGTAAACAAGCCAAATAACCTCAACTAAAGTGGTAAGAAAAGCAAAACCCACAATACTTCTGAGGTTATGTGCATTTAACCACGTTTCTCCATCAAACCATCAACTCAAACAGAAAAACCATCAACGAATGAGGCTTCCAGTTAGCATGTTAGCAATACCACTGCTCGTGTCACTCCCCTTCCATCCTCCACCAAGAAAATACCAGAACTGAAGGGAAAAGAAATGGTTAAGCTGTTCTTTACTGAAGAAGCACGAGAAACTTCAAGTTGCCCACGGCAAAGGCCACAACCTCAGAAGTGCAGAGAACTGGCTGGTGCAGCCAACACCAGCATAGCCACAGACACAACGGCACACCACCAGCCACAGAAACTCTTACGGTGCCCAAGGGAGGGAGAACATGAACTAAGCAGTTGTGTTACGCACCACATATCCACATGATGCTTGATTATCTGCCTGGGAAGGAAAAAATCAATTTACATGTGTCCATAAAGAACCAGCATCCTTGCTCAGCCAAAGGGACCTGGTGGCTCATGGACTGAAGAGAAGCATTACACACACTTCCAGAACACACCACTTCATCTACTTTGAGACAGTGTTCAAACTTAAAACCTGGTGAAAACTAAGTCAAGAACTCCACGTCAAAACCAAAATTCTTTCCTGCAAAAGAATCAAAGCAACAATAACACTACTTATATATTTTAGAAGAGCACCCATAAAGTTGGAAAATTGTGTTACCATAGAATCACATAATGGTTTGGGTTGGAAGGAACCTTAAAGATCAACTAGTTCCAACCCCCCTGCTATGGGCAGGGACACCTTCCACTAGACCAGGTTGCTCTGAGTCCCATCCAGCCTGGCCTTGAACAATTCCAGGGATGGGGCAGCCACAGCTTCTCTGGGCAACCTGTGCCAGGGCCTCAACACCCGCCACACTGGATGGACTAACACCAAAATTCACATATCTTTACAATATCAGCTTTCAGCAGGCAACCCCTGCTTCAGCAAGGCACCTGATACATAAAACATTGTTTATTTTCAGCAGATGCAAAAATTATTTAGCTGAGCTGTTTCAACATCTTCCTGTCTCTTCCCCTGGATAGTTACACATTGCCCACATTTGTGCTGGGGTTTTTGGGGCAGGAGGAAAGGACAGACACGCTGGAAGAAAGCCTGATGAAGTAATGGAACAGCACAATATAGCCACAACACAAACCTAGGAGCTACTGAGTGATCTAGGATAGGGTTTAGAGCACGTCTGTGCTCAATAACAGCTGCTCTGTACGGTCCCAGGTGAACCTTACCCAACATGATGCACTGAGGTGTTGGGACACCTACTCCAGTACCTCAAGCCAGAGAACTAAGAGCTGTACAATATATCTGCTTACCTGTTGAAATTGCTTGTAGATTACTTTTCTGACTTCATCAGAAGGCTGAACTTTTCCAGCAAGCAGTGAAGAAAGCATGTTACCCAGGGTAACCATGCCCAAAATCACCCTGGGGAGGGAGGGAGAAGACAGGACTAAGCAACACAAAAGCCTCAGGTGTTCCTGTAGATAAAAGCATCCACTCTCAGCCAACCTGGAGAAGTCAGTTCAGCTACTTCATAGTAATAATGCAACATTATTGATGCTATACTTGGATTCTGTGTCTCTGCAGGAGACAGAGTCCAGTTCTCAGAAGCTCTGGAGACGCACACACAAGTCAGCAGGTGCTGTGGGTGCCTGGCCCTTCTGAGCATCTTTGTATCTCTGCTCCTTGTAACTGCAGAGCTGCCTGTAGTCTCGGGGAGCTTTTGAAAAGCACCGACTACTTCACTGTTTTACACCCTCCTCTGTCCTTTTGAAAGGTGTGACAGCCAGAGACATGCTCATCCCAGTTTTGCTCATTCCCCTTCTCCCTACAAGGCTCTACAATAATTCATTCCTTGATTTAGCACTGCAGTTGGACAGTAATTGAGCAACTCTACATTATTCAGCAGGTCTACAGGAGACCTACAGGGTAATAGGGCACATGCCAGTTTGCTGGGGACACTCTGGGTTATAGGGGTAACTACAGCATTGCACTATAACACAGTGTTCTGAAGAAACTGGGTGAACACTGCAGTGGAGGTGGGTAAGTTTGGGTTTGGTTGTTTTAAACAAGAATATTTTTGCTTTGTTAAGTTAAACAGTTATTATTTAGAAAAACCTAATTGCATTATCCTGCAGAGACACACTGAGTAAGTGTATCACAATAATCATTAAAGTTATGTGAAGAGCAGGACAACCTTGGCATGACAACGTACCAAGTCCAGCACTGGTGTGTTTTAAGTAACATTTCTGAACTGTGTTACTAGAACTGAAAAAAAGATGAGTGAGAGGATATTATACTTCCAGCAAGCACTTAAAAGACATTCCTTGGGACCTGGTGAGGGAAGTGATACATATGGATGAATAGTGATATATGTGGACATACCCAGATTCATCAACAACTGGTACCTGGTCGAATCCCTTCTCCCGGAGAATTTCGACAGTCTTTGCACAGGTAACAGTTGGAAGCACAGTCAGGGGAGCAGAGAGGCTCAGTTCTTGAACACTGATGTTCCACCACCTGGGGATGAAGTAAAAAAAAACAAACCATGCAAGATTTATGGAGAGAACAGAACCAGCTCTTCATGTACAGTGGCCTCCAACACGACAGGAATGACAAAAGGAAACAAGGAAGGATTCAGCCAGAGTCAATAAAGCTTCAGGGTTCTAAAGTTTTATCCCCAATATCAGAAAGTCACTGAAGTGTGAGAAGGCTCGAAGACCGAAACTCTTTCCTTCATTTCATTGACTTTCTAGGATTAGACACTTAGTGGAGAGAACTAATCCCCCCAGTTTCAATACTTATATCTTACACAGAAAATTTTGTGCTCCTACTGAAAGACCTACCCATATTTACAGTCACTATAGGCAACAATTTAGGGAAGATTCCCTTCCACCTCTGCAGACTTGCAGTCCTTTGCACTCAAGAACTCTGATCTCGGAAGAGTTTTTTGGATGCTACTTTTTTTTTTTTTTTATTCTAAATAAAAAAAAGTCATTAAGTACCAAATTTTCTTCTGCTGCCATGCAACTCAAAGAACAACGTCAACTAATTTAGGCAGATTTGATTAATAGCTGCAATTATACAACAAGGCAATGAAAGATTAGCTAAATCAAAGGAGTAGTGTAAATTGAAATGAGCTTTGAATTAGCAACTGCCATAAACTCGATTGAATAGACTCATGAAAATCCAAACGGATCTGACAGGTTTACCAGGGTTTGTTGCCAAGGTCCTCTTCTTTCATGAACCCTTTCTGAATCATCCATTTGTCACTCAAAAACTTGGACCTGGAAAATCATCAGGAAGTGAAAAGCTCATTAGCAGGTTGAACATCTGACAGCAAACACAGGCAACTGTTTACAGCTCACTACCACTAACAAATAAAGTGTAATTGAAAACAGACCCTCATTTGCTATCCAAGCTTACCAGCCAGGGACATGGAGGAAAATATTTAGAGGAAGAAAAAGGAATCCTATAAGAAACAAAGTTCCAACTACATCAGTCTCTTGCAATACAATAGCGACACAGTCTGGAATGAAGGTGTGCCAGGCAAGGTTTGTCTGCAGCTTCTAGTTGTTTCTAGTTTCTAGTATTGAGTTGGATGCAACAGAAATCAGGAAACACAGCTAAAAATACCACGTTTTGGGATATGCTTCAATGCAGTAGGAGAAAAACTACTCAGCACAGCTCAAAGCCCTCACACTTCCACCTGTAAACTCACCCTGACAGTGGCTGCTGCTGCAGGAGTGCTGGGCTCTGCTGTGGGCACAGGGATGGGATAATACCAGTGGTCCCCCAGAAATAACAGAGTGAAACCTTTCCTGTGAAAGATGCTAACCAGTGATGACCATCTACTGAAATCAAAGCCCAGTTTTCAAAGGGAAAATGTCTACTCCATGTCAGGCCCTTTTTAGATACCTCGGAACTTGTGCCCCAAACACATTCCTGGGTGATACAAGAAATAGGTATTCAAATTGCCACTGCTGAAAGGAGGTCTGAGGGACTGCCTCATCCCTTTCCCAGGGAGAAAACCAGCAGGCTCTTACATGTAGTTCCTGATAGAGTCAGGGAGGATGACAACACAGCACTGACCCTCCTTCAGCTCCTTGGCTGCCTTCACAGCCACAGCCATGGCACTGCCTGAGCTGCCACCTGCCAAAACACAGAGCAGAGGCAGAACTGTCAAGCAGTGAGTGAAATGAGAATGATCAAAAGAGAGGAGGAGAGAGAGAGTGAGACGAGCCCAGAGTGAGGAAGTCAAGTTCCGAGGTGGAAGGAGGTCTCTCTGATCTGCACAAGGCTTCAGCCTCCCACAGAGAAACCCAAAGGATCCACATCTGCTCTCACCACACAGCAGCCCCTCCTCTCGGATCAGCATGCGAGCAAAAGCAAAGGACTCCTCATCGTTGCTCTTGTACCACTGGTCCACTGCCTGGGAAGGGGCAGGAAGAGAGAAACAGAGGGCTGTTTAAATGAGGAGGGACAGGGGAACTACACAACCAGTGTGAATTCAACCCAGGCTCTTTGAGGTAACAGCTGCCCTACTGAGCCGTGTGCCTGGGTTTCCATCCTCCAAATGCCAAGTGGGGTTTTTTTGCCAAGGTAAGATGATCACATCAGTACAGCAGGCTCCTTATTGGAATCTCACTGTGGGAACAGGCTGCTGTGAGTCAGCCACTGAGAGCATCAGTTTCTTCCCCTCCTGGAGGGCTTCCCAGGGACACAGGCTCTGCTCAAGATGCTGTCATACCTCTTTGTCCAGGAGGGGTTGGGATGCTTTACTGGAGACTTTTTCTTTATTGGTTAGTTGGTGTTTTTTTGTTGCTTGGGTTTCTTTTTATTGTGTGTGGTTTGTGGTATGTTTTGTTTGGGTTTTTTTTAAATGTAAAAATAAATTTGTTCTAGGAAAACATTATCTACTCACAGCCTTTTGACCTGGCATTGTAAAACAAACATTCTGAGGACTGCTTCTGCTGATGGAAAGAACAGGAATAGTCCTGCCTCCCAGTCCTCCCATTTCACCTCAAAGGAATACTTCCCCAAGCTTTTCCCTCCGCCTTTCACCTCACTCCTGCATCCCACCATAGGGCAAAGGGCAGTGAAACCAAGCAGCACGACTTACAGATCTGTCCAACACCGTGGGGACAAAATCATATCCGATTCCTTCCACTTCATACATTGTCTTGTCAGTCTTGTTCAGTGATTCTGGTGTAGCAAGGATGGAGCCTTCAGGATCCACACCTATGATCTGGAGAAGCAGTTTCCACTCAGGCCACTGTGACACACTGCTTCTGGGGACACAGCACGTGTGAGCACTGGCCTTGTTGCAGCTGCTGGTGTCACACTCAGCCAAGCCAACAGCAACCTGGCCTCCTACTCATTTTTCTGGCAAAATTCACCTCCCCTGAGAGCAAAATGCTTTGCTGCTTCTGGCAACCCATCCCATCTCTTCGGGATGTGTGGACACCGAGGGGCACCACTTGCTCTATGTGGGTTTTGCTTGTTTTAAACAGAAGACAGGGTTTCCCCAAGACAAGATTGTCCTCATTCACATGTCAGGCATCATTACAGCCAAGACATTTTGGGCCAAGTGTAAGTAGATCGGTTTTATTTTCTTCATCACTCCCTGCCTATGTAGGAAAATGTTCACGATGGAAGCAGGATACCGAGTTCTGTGAGGAAATCTTTGCAGAGACAATTACACCAGGTAAAACCTCAGCAGCTCCAAAAAAGTTAGTGATGGCACAGTCAGAGAGGAAACACAAGGCTGCAGAGTACAAACCAGAGGGGGAAGTTTCTCAGATACCCCATGAAGGGATCTGAGGGCCAGTTTCACCTGCTGAGCCAAACCCGAACTCTGGTCACCACTGAGACCAGAGGATTTCAGACAGTCTGAAAACCTTTGTTCTTTGTTCTCAGAACTTCCTTCTAGCTAAGAACAGAGAGGGGCTTCCCACAGAGATCCAGGGCAGGCTTGCAAGGAATGAGATGTGCCAAGCGGAGCAGTCTGAGGTTGACCCCACTAAAGAGAAATGCATGAGGTTTGTCACTTACTTTGCACCCTGGACACTTCTCCTTCAGCTTTCTGGAGATGCCAGTGATAGTCCCTCCTGTGCCAGCCGTAGCCACCAGCATGTCTATCTTTCCTGTTTGAGGGTGAGGGATAGAAGGCAGTTGTGAAACCTCCAACAGAATGACGGATTAAAACCCCACTTACACCTAAGTATGGACTTTCTTCAACAAAAATGCAGAAAGTGGCTGAAAAGGGCAAGATGAGGTCCTTTCCTTCCCAAGAGTTGTTATGAGACCTGCCCTGAGCCCACATTGCTCAATCCTCATTTACTCCAATAAGGGTTTTGAAATGTCCATCCAGAGGCCTGGCAAGGCACCAACTTGTGGCACTTTGGACACAGCTGGAGGTGGCCCATGAAGCTGACAGCTGTAGCTTTCCTGTTACTGTATTTGCTGATACAGATAATTCATTCTCTAATTTAAACCAAGCAGCCCATTATATTAGTTAATTAGCTGAGTGAGTGCCAAGAGCATGGGTTAGGCATCCATGGAGAGAACGGTTAACACAACTACTTGCTCATTTTCCAGTGAAAAAGACTTTGGTCACTAGCACTCAGAGTGAGTGTGCATGTATTTTATCCCTCTGTCACCACCTACAGTTTCCCTGGTGCATCCACATGACAGCTTTGTTAATCAAAAAATAAAATTAAATTTTTAAAAGGTCACCAACTCACACACGAAAACAAATGCTTACCAGCCAAGAGAATAACACCCCACCAAGCAGGGGCAACTGAACAGTGCCTGCCCTGTGAGGGAAAGTAAATACAAACAAGAAGTCTAAAGCTGGAACTCATCTGGACTCCCAATTTGTGGGATGGCAGCTTGTTAAAAGTGCACTCATTTAAACTCAAACTTAAAGTTTGTCACAGAAAGACAAGCCAAATCCTCTGAACAGTCAGATTTTTAGGAGGGAGGAAAACCCTTCACATGGTCTCCACCTTAATGAGAAGGAATTTAATAGCTGATTTTCTTATGAGAGGGTCCCATCGGAAACTGTACTGTATAACATTTTTATAAGGCAGGCCAGTAGCTCCCATTTGACTTAATTCTACCACCTATGGAAATGCCCCCAAGGTAGACTGCAGCATCACATGGAATGTCTCCAACAGCTCTCAAACCACCTCCTCAGCTGGGTGAGTGAGCCCAGCAGAAGCTCTGTGCTGCCACAGCTCAGTCCCTGCTGGTTCTCCAGCTCAGCTGCCCAGCACTAAGATGGAAGAGATCCCTACAGAGTGAGAGGGTCCTACTGGTGACAACTGCCACATAGGGCAGTTTGTGCTCCTGAGGACCCCTAAGTGAAGAATCTTCCAATGTATTGGAGTATTTGGTCTGGAAATGTTAAAATACCTATGTCTGTACTTGGGATCAGAGAAAAACGACCCTATTTCACAGCAGTCTACCTATGCCTTTTTTTTTTAATAAGGTATCTTAAGCATCACTGCTTCCTCCACCTGAACACAAGCAGAGGAATCTAAAAATCAAAGAATTCTTCTTTAATGGAAAAAAAAAATTATTACTGTGACTACTGAAATAAGGTAACTCTCTAATGACACACGGCATAGGTATGGGATTTGCTGTGCCAAAATCCACGTATTTCTCATCCAGCCGAGGTCTCATTCTCCAAGAACATAACAATAAAACTACCAGGGACTGGCTGGGGAGGGGATTAGCAGCAGAGCAGACATACCATCACACTGCTGCAGGATCTCCTCAGCTGTGGTGTCATAGTGTGTCAGGGGGTTGCTGGGATTCCGGTACTAAATGGAAAGACAGAACAGACGTGAAGACAAAAATTCAGATCGTGAGGCATTTCAAGAACATGTCAAACAATCTCCAAGCCCCACAACAGCGACACACACTACCTGCACCTAGGCCCGAGGGGAGATACAACCTTCCTAATCTGTGACTTAATTTAAGAGTAGTTCTAAGGTGCCAGCACCCTCCAATGCAACGATCAGTCTTGTTTGTGGGACAGCTACTTTTAGCAACGTGACTCCTGCGTCCATTCTTCCACACAGGCTTGCCAACTCAGTGGAAAAAGACGTCCTTAAGTGTTGCAGTTTTGGCAAACAGTGGCTCATTGCTGCTCTCTAGTGACTACAAAAACTCACTGGCTTGGAGCACAGCGGTTGATCAGCCACAGCTCCAGATCTGGGGCATCTTCTCCTCCAGAGACACACGCAGAGTGTTGAACAGTCAACCAAGGACACTAAGAAACAAGGCTGCAATTCCTCCTCCATGCTGTCCTGCACCTCCTGCATCCTGGCTCTTACCTGGTCTAGGATGTGTGCGTTGGGGATTTCGTTCTTCAGCCTCCACGCCACTCCCACGTGAGATTCAGGAGAATCAAATCTGGCTGTAGTTGGGGTCCTCACAATCTCAGCACCCAGAGCTCTCAGGACATCCACCTGTAGCAAAGAAAGGCGGTCACAAAACCCCAGAACGCTCTCCCAGCAGAGAGACTTCACTGGATGAAAGGGGAAAGAAAGCATCTTCCCTTTCACCTGGTCAGCAGTAGCCTCCTCAGTGGTTCTCCTAAAGCCTGAGCCACTGAGCCATGGATCAAAAACAAATGACGTTAAGGATTTGAACTAAGCTTTACTGGTGAGGCAGGTGTCAAATTCCTGTTTCTAGTCCAGGCCTTCATGCCTGTAGGAACTATTACTACCACACTGAGAAGTCTCATTCAGCCAAAACACCCTCTCCTCTCACATCAGGCACAAGTTCTGCACTCCAGCACTGCTGTAGCCCAGTATTTTATGTTTAAGTGCAAATTATGTTTATTTATCCCCTCCAGGGCCCTGTGCACCTTTGAACTGCTACAAGGGCAAGAAAATTTATAACACTGAGCCTGTCTTCAGAGGGCAGGGAGACCTTTGGTGCCATGTGGCACATGGCAATGGCCATGTGGTACCTCTCCCTCCAGAGCAGGCAAGAGCAAGCCATGGGTACAGGCCTTCAAGGGATGTTGTTCATTTGTGCTGCTGACTCAGCTGTGGAACACAGGGGATCTCCTCCACTCTCTTCTCTTGGCTGCAAGTGCAGCACCACAGGACAGGGCTTGCTCTATAAACAGATGCTTTGTGCTTTCCACAGAGAAGGTAAGTGGAAGGCAAGGCAGCTTTTCCTTCCCCTTTGCTGTTGTGGTGACACAACTCAGAGGCTTGCCAGGACCAGCCAGTGTAACCTGAGGAGCTCAACAGGCTCCCTCACACTCAGCCCTGAGCCCTGAATATTTGCAGAATATTCGAAGCTTCAGCACTGCCTCCCTTCACCCTCTGCTCAGCAAGGGACAGGAAGTCCCTTCAATGTGCGTGGCAAATCCCAAGTTCCCTTGACATTTGTATTTAAAACACCTATGACAGTTTTCAAAGTGACAATGCTGTGGGGATAGGTCTTAAAGACATTTTCAAAGACATTTTCTATCCATGGCTAGCCAGCCTGGATCTCTGTGGGCGCTGGCAACAGCTCCTCAGCAGAGTTCTGCCTGGCCAATTACATATTTTATACCATCTTTGTTGCTAAAGCCACAGCATCCATCTGCACCGGGAATTCTGCGAGTGCAAACACGTTTATTTTTTTAAATTCTTGAAAACACAAGCAGGTCTGACCTTCTCCATGCTCATTTTCTCTGGCATCACGATGATGCAGCGGTAACCCTTCACTGCCGCAGCCAAGGCCAGCCCAATTCCTGAAAGCAGGCAAAGACATGCAGAGCACACGGTGAGGAGCAGCAGAGAACAAAACCCACAATGCCAGCATTGCCATGCCCCTGGATTTAATCAGATTTTCACCAGAGGCTTGAATACAGTGTCTCTAGAAGGGTGGCAAACAGATTGTTTCAGTCTGTTGGGCAGAACTGGATTTCAGATGCTGCTCGTTCTTTGAGGTTCACAGCCAAGAGAAAGTTTAGCCAAGGGTGGGGAAGCTTGACATGTGCAAACTGCTGGCTTTACCACATGCACATCACCTTCCTCCTGTCTCACCCACTTCATTTTTACAGAAGGAATTTGGGAAAGGAATGTGCTTCAAGCTAGAGAAGATTAGAGAGTCCCTTTGATACTGCCAGAAGATCAGAGCCTTTACTGACTCACTTTTGCACTAAACCCCTAGTCTGCAATGCACTGAAACTAAGGCCTCTCTAGAAAGAAATTATTGAGATGCTGTTTGTGATTGAGGTTCTAATGCACTGGGTCAACTTGCTGCCACAGTGAAGTACCTTGACTGTTAGAGACAGACACTTCCAGCTGGTCATCTTCTGTACCTCAGAGAAGAGAAGCTCACAGCTGTTATTAGATCATCTCTCTGCAGGATAAGCTAAACAGATCAAGTTGGTTGATCAGTGTCTGAGGTGAGACGACAAGGCAGCTCCCCTGCTGTGTTGGGTGCAGGACCAACACTTGCAGTTTACCCTACACAGAGACTTGCTTGTTCAAAGCTGGCTCTGTTTCTACACGGTGCTGAATCACACAGAGGTAAAAAAACCCGTAATAATCTTTAACTGTTAGTGTAAGAGAAGCTTAACTCACGCCTCAAGTAATTCAAGTAGTGTTTAATATATTTGTGGGAGGAAAAACAACTTTTCTCAGTGTATTACAGATAAATATGGATACCCAAATACAAAAATAAGAGAGAAAAGGCCTCACTAAGGCCAGAGACTGAAGAGAAGCCATCCATCACTCTTCCTTATAGTCTGTGATAAACAAAGAATTTTGAGACCTGAACTCTAATACTTTGTACTTTCTGCCACTGAACTGGAAATGCAGCAAACATCAAAACAGGACTTTGGTTGAGGGAGAAGTGGAATGCAGAGAGGATAAAAATATAACACATTAGCTCTCACTTTCAACATACTCGGTAGCCCTGAGCAGTAGCCTAGAGCAAATGACAAGTGTCTCAGGTTACTGTCTGCCCTGGTCTTTGCTTTTATATGAAAAAAAGAGACAGCATTCTGCAGCAATTGTCCTGTATCTCCTTCAGTTCTGCCTTTTCAGATTCCGTGGCAAGGAGAATCATTTATCAGGTACTGACCCAGAAAGCAGGATGTCATAGTATGACCTTAGATACTGGAGGAATGCAATATATATGGATATTTTCCACTAAGTGCCATTGTTCAGGCAAGGGGTACAGCCACATTCACAAAGGCTTCAGTTGCACTGCACCCTCCAAAGAACAGTTGCTGAGACAACAGCAACTGATGTGACCTCCCAGTTTTTTTGTTGAAGGCAGATCAGCTCATCATCCCAGTCCCTCCAGTAACAAAGGTTTGACTGGACCAAAAGAACAAAAGAAAGATCTGCTTGGCCTGTGTCTAATATCTTGCAACAGTGGATGGAAGCCCAGGAAGGAGTTTAAGAACAGGACAAAACACCTCTCCAGAGCACATCAGGCAGGAGAGAAGTTTGCAGCTCAGCTCAGGAACATGCTCAGAGGAGGCAGTATATTTTATACTTAACTATTTATATTTAACTATATCATATATTTTATATTTAACTCAAGGGGGAACACTCCAGGTATGTTTTCTCCCCAGGAGCCGAGCAGCTTAACAGAACTACAACAGCTTTGACACAGGAGCCGAGTCAACTCCAGTGTCTTGGATCATCAGATGCCCTGGCCCCTGCCTAGTGGGACTGTTCCTTCCTCCAGCCCTCCAAGGAGGAGATGCTGTGGATCTCCTGTGATTTTCAACAGTGGAACATGTTGAAAATCCAGGTGTGCAAGGGTTTTGTCAGCAGGCTGTGCTGTGGGCGTGCAGTTCATCTCCCACCTCAACTGCACCCACATGGGAAGGGCTGTTTCTCAAACCAGGCCCACCTCACCTGACAGAGGGACCACGGGACTTCCTAAACAGAAAGAATGGGAAGATCCAGATTCTTACCAGTCTTTTGGGTGCCTTTCCCCCCTTAATTTCAGTCAGACTTGAAATCCTGAATAGGATCTAAAGACTCTAGTGAATCTGGTCTAACACTTCTTTTCTTTTCTTTTAAAGCAAGGAGGCTCTGCAAATTTAGCAGAACTGCTTCTCAGCTGTTCTGGTCAGCACAGGGCACTGTAGAAATGTTCCTTGTGCAAGATGGAGGAGGCACTGCAGGCAGGAAGAGATCCCTTCTTCCTTGCACAGGCAGCCTCCATGCTCCAACCTCAAACCTGCCTCACCCAGGAAAAGCACCACAGCATTTCCCCCCACACTTTGCTAAGGTCTCTCCGTGCCCTACCTGTGTTCCCAGAGGTTGGCTCTATGACTGTGTCCCCAGGCTTCAAGATCCCAGCCCTCTCAGCATCCTCCACCATCCTGAGGCTGATGCGGTCCTTGACGCTGCCCCCGGCATTGAAGAACTCGCACTTGACCACTGGAATCACAGAAACCAAGCACAGCTCTTGAACACAGTCACTGGGTAGCAGGCTGCTGATTCCTAACACCTCTGGAAGACCAGCTCTGTTAACGTGTTTGCCCAGTTCACCTCCCTGCTTCCCAACAGCAGAGAGGGGGATTCAGCTCACGGCATCTCTTCTGTTACAGGTCAGAACAATAAGCAACTTGTCACTGGAATCACAGAATGGTTTGGGTTGGAAGGGACCTTAAAGATCACCTCATTTCAACCCCCTGCCATGGGCAGGGACACCTTCCACTAGACCAGGTTGCTCAGAGCCCCATCCAACCTGGCCTTGAAACCTGGTCTTGCCCTTGATCAAACTGGAAGTTTCTCCCCTTGTTCAGCCTACACTTTCACTCCAGTCCCCCCCCAGCAATAACCCCTTCAGTGGTGTTGAACACCACCTTTCAGGACTCTGATCAGAGCCTCCAGGTATCTCCAGCACAGTCGGGTTTAAAACCCCAACCAACCAAAAAAAAAACCTTCACTGACAGTTTCATCTCTTTAATCATTTTCAGTGATCTTTGGTGATAACTGCTGATCTGCATTTTATACACACTGATGAATACTCTGAATATGAGAAGCAGTCAAAAACTTCATACAACTTTTTAAAGTTTAATTGTTCTATGAAAAACATCTTTTTCTACAAAAATGGAAAAGCTGCAGGGAATGTTCTCATGAAGTGCAAACTGAAAGATGTTTTAAATGACCAATTCCATAAAAACTGACAATCTGCCAAAGAAAAAGAGGAATTTTTCCTCACCATTTTCTGCCAGGTGCCTGCACTCCTGCTTCCAGGGTTACATGGCACTACTAACCAGAACTACCCCGAGTTTCTGAAACAATGTTTGTCAGTTGGATTTTCTGCCTGCAGCAGTACTCACAGAGATCACACTTGAGTCCAAAATGCTTCCCAATCTTGTTGATTCGCACCAAAGGTGTATTGCCAACTTTATTCAGGATGTTTGGCAGGATCTTTGGAGGCTCTGACCTGGTATAAATACAAAGTCAGTGTATTCCCAGAAAAGGCCACAGGCAGGTCACACAACAACCACACAGCATTTCTAGTGCTTTTTATTTCAACCAGCTTTCTGCCTCCCCTTTATCGGGGTAGTTACTTTAGGTATTTTAGTTTAAAAGAACAACCATGGGATACAAACTCACAAAACATCAAGTCCTTGATCCAAAACATGGATTAATCAGACATCAAGCCAAGTGCTGAGGCAAGAATGAAGTGCTCTGCACTTTCTCCTGGCATGGAGTAGCTCAGCACTCCTCAGAGTCAGCTAGTTTATAACCAAAAGGCATTAATAGTGCAAACTTTCATCTAGTCAGGGAACTGCTTGCCAGGTGACTTAAAATAAGTTCATTCCAGTCCATGTGCTTTCACATCTGTGGTGCAAGGCCCCCTGTATGCTCAGTCTGGGTTCTTAGCTTTGCTTAGACATGGAAATTAAAAAGCACCAGCACATCTACAGGCTGAACAAGACTCCATTTAAATCAGTCACCTGCTGTTAAATCCACATGGCTCCGAGGGAACCTGGATTAGTGCTGAAAAGCAGCAAATAAAACACTTACAGAGAGGTATGATGATGTGGGGAGGCAGAGAGGGGTTTCCCAAGCTTCCACGTGCATTTGCTGGGTGTATCAGGGCGGATCCACTGCCTTTCCTTCTCGTTATTCTTGCAGTTCTCACTGTCCACCCCACCAGGGAGAACACACTTGCCAGCTGCATGAGGGCATGAGTTTGTATCTGGTTTCTTCTGGGAAGGAGGAGTAGGGATTCCGTTCTTGGGGGAGGGAGAAGGAAAACAAAAAGAGAAAAAAAAAAAAAGGAAAAGAAAAAAGGTGAAGGGTTGAGGAGAGAGTGAGTGATTTGTCTGCCCTGCTGTAACAGGGTCAGAGCATCTTTGAGATTATCAAAGTCACTCAAGTTCCACACCATGGGAAAACCTCCATTCACATCATTGCCCCCTGCTAAAACAGCTAAAAATCACGTTGCTAATAAAGAGCCCTTATTCTTGTCTCTCTTGTCCCTCTTGTCCCACCAACTTATCCATCCCAGTCTGGTATTCCAGCATGCAGTTTTCCTGAGGGAAGCCTGAGCAGCAGCTACCCTGGTGACAGTGTCCAGGAGACAAGTCTTGCCCATGAACTAAAAAGCGCAAGGGCAAAAAGCAGTTTTAACACCCAAGAACAGGTTCTGCTACTGACTGCAAGAGATCCTGGGACTGCACCTCAGACCCAGGTGTTGGGGAAGAAAGCACAGCATGTCTCAGGTTAATCCCATCCTCCAGTGTCTCAGTCTTGTTTTCCCCTTATGTGAAAAAGGTCACAACAAACAGGTATTTTGATGGTCAGTTGATGTTTCCGTAGTACTGTGAGGATGGGAAGGTGTTTCAGCATCATTTTGATTTGCCAAATCCTTATCACCAGCACGAGAATAATGTAAATACACTGAGGCACGTGCTCACTGTAGCAAGCCTCCATAAATGTCAAGAAAACAGGACAGGTCTCATGGGAGACACCCCTCCCACACCAGAAGCTCTCTGAAACAAAACCTCCCCATTCCAAGCAGAGTGGAACACAGTAAGACTACCTGGTGAATAATTAGGAAATTGTGCCAAAAGACTCTGCATTCCTACTTATGGTCATGGAGAACTCTTCCAGAAAGGCCACTGGTTTCAACAGCACCTCCTACCACAGCATTTCAGCAAAACAACCTAGAAATCTCTCTGGAAACAGGTGGGGCTCTCCCAAATTCTGGTGACAGAAAGTTGGGATAACAGTATTCCCCAAAGACCCACGAGTACCTTAGACACAGGAACAGGCCTGTCTGATGCAAACTTCTCCATGTTTTTTGGTGAAGGTGATGGCCCAGGAGACTGGAATTCCTTCAGGAAAGAGTCACAAGACTGGAATCCTCTTCAGCGCTGCGGATCATGCAAGTTGGGAAAAAAAACCCCACTGTCATGAAAGAGTCTCTCACAGAGGCAAAACACAGACAGCTTTTTCATAGAGAAAAAAAGAAGCTGCAAAACAAAGTGAAGGTGACTTGTATAAATAGGATTAAAAAAAAAAATAAAATCATGCAGCAGAGGCATTGCACAATTTTGATGGAGGGTCCCCTGACCCTGTCCTTCCTGCATTACATAATCTTCCCTCTCAGAGCCAGGAAGGTAAGCAGAAAACACCTTTTATCAGACTGTCTGCAATTCCATAAGCTTGAAAGCCACACAAAGTAACAGGAAATACTTCAGTTCACAGGATATAGACTTCTAGGGACACACAGGGGGAAAGGGCTTCACGGTGCCATTCCCAAAAGACCCTGCACACAACTTAGGAAAGGGCTTTATCCAGGAACACTTGCAGAGGCCTCTGAACCCTTGAGGAGACCAAAATCTCACAAGTTCCTACCCAAAATGAATCAGTGTTGCATGCACAGCTGTAGTGATGCTGGATATAACACACACACAGCAAACACTTCAGCCTTCTAGGAGGCTTTTTGTTTCAGAAATTAGTAAACACAAAATGGAAACAGTTAGTTCATTTTTCCTGCACCGGCCAGTTGTTCACAGAGCCTGTCTGCTTCCTTTCCACTGAAGGCAAAAACGTGGCTGAAGTCTTGGAAAGCATGAGGGTTTTTTTTCCCCTCTAATATTTGTTTTTCTCATCACCATTTTGCAGCAAAATTCAGCTCTTTCCATTACTGAACTGTGCTGGGAGGGGTCCCTGGCCTCATCCTCCTTCTTCTGACAGATGCACATAAAACAGACGCAGAGTTGATGGTCTGGTGACACACTGGAAAAAAAACCCTAAAACTGAATCACAGGCTCACTGAACTTTAGCATTTGATCCTGTAAGTTAATATGGACCACTAACCAGTACTGTCTTGTGCACACCAACTCCTTTCTTGCATGCTGACTTGAAGAAAGCTCCTAAAGCATTTAAACTGCCCTGCTGTAGGGGAAAAAAAAAAACCTCTGAAAGCGTCAACTTTCCAGCCTAAGACTTGAAATAATTCTCCTCCTGGATATCAAGGTTTCCATGCCACCAGAATTCTATGATTTTACTTTATTTAAGTTAACACGTGCCCAAGAGCCAAGATGGACTACATCCCGTCCTAGAATACTCACCAGCACTAAACTGAGAGACACCAGCCCAAGAAAGCTAAGAGCCTATAAATACACATAATCAAACAACAAACAGTCTTTGTTACCAGAAATCAGCTCATTTTCAGTTCCAGAGTGAAACCCACCTTTCATTTCTCTTTCCAGGAGGTTCCTGGTTCACAATTCAGAATATCGGTGGCTTTTTTTAGTAAAGGAAAAAGAAACACTGGAGAAGTTTCAAGGCTTCCTTTGAGCCACATCCACATGTTCCCTCACCCAGCTGACATGAAACACTGGACACAGACACTGACTGCCTCTGCTCACAGGTAACACTGACAATACTGACAAAGTCCATCTAATAAAGGGATCTTGGTGCCAAAGGATCAATCTATTTCAACACGCAGGAAGAGGGCAGCAGGGGGTTAGAGACAGGAAACATCAGCTTCTGTTCGTCTTCCAGGTTCTCATAAAATAGGAGCACAAAACCTTTAAAAGCTTTAAAAATCACCAATTCACAGTATCCTTCAAAAGGGTCCAAAAATTGAGGGGGAAAGGGGGAGAAATTTGTTGCAGAAAAAAATTTAAGAGGTTTCAAGCATTTGTTCTCTGTACTGACAGCAGGAAAGAAATTAATGTGGCTCTCAAAAAGCTGTATTTTGAAGGATTCCCTCTGAATTGGGCAAGACAATGCCATCTCATTTCCTGTATTGTAAAGCAAAAAAATCCATAATTCACTAACAGCAACTCCCATCACTTCTTGAACTAGAAACAGCAGAAACTAAGAACGAGCTATATTTATTGCCTTCAGCTGAGCTGTGAGACTCTCTTGTATTTTCAGAATGGCAATACTCGATGTTTGATCAAAGCTTCAATAATAGGGTTTCAGTTCCAAACAATTACAAACAAATAATGAGAAGAGGGACAAAAAGCCAACCTCAAGCATTGCCAAAAGGAATTCTAACCAAATACTAACTTTAAGCAACACAATCCATTGCTTACAGCCCTTGATGATGCAACTTGAGCAAAACAGGGGGCAGAGGTGGTCTAGGACATCCAAACCCTCCCACATGATTCTGCCTACAGACCCAAAACAGGCCATAGGAACCTGTTGCATCTTTCTACTGGGGAGACCTTTGGGGAACAAAGAAAAGGGGGTGAGCAGAAATCCCGAAAACAGAGGATGACAGCAACTCCTTTGCTAGCCTAACCCTCTTCTCAGTCTTTTTTTCTGGGAATGAAAGACTGGGGAGACAGGACAGGAGGATGGCAACTCTGCTCCTATAATTGCAGTTGGACACTGCTCAGGAGAGTCCAAGGAAGACAAGCTGCCCATCCTCTGAAAAGAAATTCTGTCAGCCTCAATTTAATTTTGCTGTAAAGGGGAACACTCCCATAACTAGTTGGGGGTGTGGGTAGAGTCTAACTAGAAAAGCCTGACTAACTTCTGCCATTATATCTGCAGAGCACATGAGGCAAACAAAAAATAATCAAAAAGACAAGTTTAATTACCTCGGTAGCCTCATCTCCTCAGATGGTAAGATCGACGGAGAGATAGACAACAGGTTAGCAAAGGCATACAGTGCTTTTGGAAAACTCCACAAAAGAGTATGGCGTAATAAACACTTGAAGAAAAGCACCAAGATCAGTGTTTACAAAGCCATAGTGTTGTCGACTCTCTTATATGGCTCCGAATCATGGGTCATCTACCGCCACCACCTGCGTCTCCTAGAACGCTTCCATCAACTCTGCCTCTGTACAATCCTAAACATCCACTGGTCAGACTATGTGACCAACACATCTGTTCTAAAGCAAGCAGCAGTCACAAGTATTGAGGTCATGTTGATGAGAACACAGCTGCGATGGGCAGGGCACGTCTCCAGGATGAAGGACCAACCACCGCCTCCCTAAGATCCTGCTCTATGGTAAACTTGCCACTGGCTGCCGCAAGAGAGGAGCCCCGAAGAAAAGATACAAGGACTCCCTGAAACAACATCTCAGCCTTGGCCATATTGATCACCATAACTGGTCTACTCTGGCCTCCAATTGGGAGGCCTGGAGACACACCATCTATAACGCAGCTGTCTCCTTCGAGAACACTCGCAGGATCACTCTTGAGGAAAAAAGGCAACGCAGAAAGAACCGTGTATTGCAGAATACACCATCTAAGGAGTCTTTCTGCTGTGCCTTTTGTAATCGGATATGTCTGTCACGTATTGGCCTCATAAGCCACCAGCGTGCCTGTAGCAAATGTGGATAGAGCCTTCCCAAATCTTCGTTCGCGAAGCCCAGCCATGATGATGATGATGATGATAAACCTAAGTCATGAAGGGGAGTGGGACACAGAGGTATGAGATGCAGAAATTGTCATGGGCAAGGCTCACATCTCTGGATCCATCTCCACAGGGAACCCAAGACCTAAACTATTTCTCAACTCCTACAGAAAAGGGCTGAAAGCCAGTGAGTGAAATTAATGCCCAAACAGCCTGAGCTGGACTCACTCCACAGATAGGTCAGGAACTACAGTTTCTACAGCTGTTTACAGTGTATGATATCAGCACTAATGTACTGGACCATTTAAATATTATGTGTGCAAGAACCTAATGAACTTGATTCTTGTCTGAAGCACAAATAAAGCTCTCTAAAAGGCAGGTGTAAGAGGTGAATCAGAGAGAGATGCCCCCAGGGCTGACTGCTCAGCAAGAGATGAGATACAGAATTCCATTATGCTAAGAATGGGAAACTTTATGACATTAAGCAGGCACAAGTAAACCACTACAAACCAGTTGTTCTGCTCACTCTGAGTGTCACAGGGTCTTAGAGAGCTTTAGGATCTTTACAGATAAGCAGATGCAGCGGTATCCATCCAGCCTTTGGAAGCTGATCACAGAAACACCACAGCTATAAATGATTCAGGAGACAGTCAGACATTTGGTTTGTTTTGCTGTTGTGCTTTTCCTGTGAGTGTGTGTGCGTCCTTGCTCCTTCCTTAGGAGCAGGCAGCCCTAGCTCCTGTGTCAGGAGACAACAAGTGACCTGAAATAACTGGAAAATGAATTAACAGCACTGAGGTTCTAGGAAGAGATCCTTCAAGAATCCCAAGTCTTATTTCCATTTCCTCCTGCAGAGCAGATGAGCACATGCATGTGCTCAGTGATCACCTTTTTCAAGCCAGATCGACATACTTATAATATTCCTGATAGGAAATGGGTAATTCTTTAATGCCCCCACCTCTGTAACATTGCAAAGATTCAATTTCAACAGCAAAGCAACTTCCACAGCTGTGGCAATTGTTATACTAGAATACAGCCAGGGAAAAATGAAAATGTTCAGTCTGCTTCCCCCCACAGAAGGGAAGCTGTGCCTGCAGCCCTAATCCAGGTGTCTTCTGACATCTCCATTTCCTGAGTTCACTCCAACCCTGTCTGAACTCACCTAATAAGTCTTCTGAGTGAAGACTGAAGTCTTCAGGAGCTCAACAGCATTAGACAAAAGCCTGGAGAATGCTTTATCTGCATTTTTACCTCTTGCAGTCAGCTTTCATTATTTCTTTCCCTGCTTCTACCTCCCTCTCCTTAGCACACAAAGATGGACCAACACTGGGAGCCTGAACAGTGCTTTTGATCTGCCGAGCTCACCAAGTACAGGGAGAGAAACATTACAGGTGAGAGGCTCAGAGATTAAGCAAGCTGCCCAACAGCAAAAAAGGGAGCTGGAGCTCTGCTCTCGGTTTCTGAGAGGTCTGTAACACAGGCAGAAGCACAGCTCCCCCTCCCCAGCATTATGGTGCCTCCCTGCAAGGCAAAACAACTTTTGTTAGCCCAGGGACCTCTGATAAAGGCTGGTCACCACTGCCTGGGCAGGAAGCCAGCTTTTGGGCTGGTGCATGTTTTGTGGGAAAGGCCACAACTGCCACCACTCCGGCTACACCCACGGAGCTCCCAGCAAGGCACCCCCAGTGCAGCCACGGGCAGGTGCTGCTGGGTGCCCAGCCCCTGTGCTCACAGGCAGTTTTCCCAGGTCACATGCAGGCTGCAGGCACCTGCCCACAGCCAGGGACCAGCCCATCCCACCACCCTGGCAGGCTGCCGTGCTGCCAGTGCCAGGTCAGTGGCGTCCCTGGGCCTGCACAGCCCGGGACACAGGTCCCTTGTGCCCCTGGATACCAACCACCATCGTTAGAGGCACACTGTGGCTGCAGGAGAGCAGTAACTCACATGCAGTGGTCATGGCAGGACAACAACAGCCACCAATCAGTATGAAAAAGGGTGACAAACACCCCAATACTGAACCTACTCCAGCACCTCAACTGCACTTCATCAGAGGTGATCTCACCACAGACGTTCCCCTGCTGAGGAATACCACGTTCTGAGCAGCTCTCAGTTTATCAGGAAACACCTTTCCTCTCTGATATGAGATTCCCACGTTTCACCTCTCTCCATACTCTGGTTTTTTCCACCTTTCCCGCAGCACAAGCTTTGCAGAACACGGAGCTCTCATGCCACAAATCAGCAAACAGACTCAGTGGAAGGGCAAACAGTGTGAGCAACCATGCTGGAACAGGGCCCAGCACTTCATGGTCAAAGGCTTTAGGATTAGAGAGACACACAGCAGACAAGATACTCAAGCAGGAATAGGAAGGAGAAGAATCACTTGTCTTTCAAGTAGTGGCTGGTTCCATGTGCCAGAAGCATTATTAACGCTGATACTGAGCAGCTCGCTCAGGTTCTCGTCAAGTTCAGACCCCTCCCAATGGGGGAAGGGCAATATACGAAATAAAATTTAAAAAAAAAAAAAAAAAAGCTGCAGGAGCCCCTCATGGTGCCCACGAGAGCAACGGACAACAAGCCAAGCCTGGGCAGAGAGCTGGTGCCAAACCCAGAGAGAAAACCAGAAGGCACAAAGTCATCTTGAGAGCCAGCGTGAGACGCCGAGAGCCCATCTCTGCTCCTGCTGCTCCTTGCTCGGAGGAGGCGCTCCCGGCCTGCCCGGGGCATCCCCCAGTCCTCCCAGGGGTGGCTCCGGGGCTCCCCTCGCCCGCAGCTGCCCCTTCCCATCCCTTCCCTTCATTACAAACACAGAACAGAAGTCCAGTTGTGTGGCAGCACCACATTCACAGAACCACAGAGTGGGTCAGGTTGGAAGGGACCACAGTGGCTCATCTGGTTCAACCTCCCCGCTCGAGCAGGGCCATCCCAGAGCACATGGCACAGGATCGCATCCACACGGTTCTGGAATAATTCCAGCGAGGGAGACTCCACACCCTCTCGGGGCAATCTGTTCCAGCCCGCAGCCCCCAAACCTTCACCCCACCCCATGATGGGGGCACGGCCGCCCCCAGCTCTCCCCACCCCATCTCATTCCCGCGGATGATGCAACGTGCGGCCGCAGGGATGGGGCCCCTCCCGCCCCCCCGCCCGCGCTGCGGCCGCCACCTCACCCGCGCGATCCGGGACACCGGACACCGCCGCGGTGGCGATGGTGATGGAGATGATGAGGAGGAGGAGGAGGATAACCAGGATGAGGGTGAGGATGAGCAGGATGCGCGGCGTGCTAAGAGCAGCGCGCGAGCCGCTTGGCCACGCCCTCGTCACGCCTTGACCACGCCCCCTCCGCCCCCCCGGGGGGCGGGAGCGCGGTGCGAGCGCTGATTGGTCACCGTGGGGGCGTCGGCTCGTCGGAGCCAGCCAATGGGAGGGCGGAGCGCGGGCGGGGCGGCACCGGCGGTGTCCAGAGATGTCCAGGGATGTCCAGGGATGTCCAGCGGTGTCCAGTGATATCCAGAGATGTCCAACAGCTTCCAGGGATGTCCAGCGGAGTCCAGAGATGTCCAGAGATGTCCAGCGGTATCCAGCAGTGTCCAGTCATATCCAGAGATGTCCAACAGTGTCCAGGGATGTCCAGGGGTGTCCAACAGTGTCCAGCAATGTCCAGTGGTGTCCAGAGATGCCCAGATGTGTCCAGCAGTGTCCAGTGATGTCTATTGATGTCTAGCAATGTCCAGTGTTGTCCAGCTGTGTCCAGCGGTGTCCAGTGATGTCTACTGATATCCAGTGATGTCCAGCAGTGTCCAGAGATGTCCAGGGATGTCCAACGATGTCTAATGGTGTCCAACAGTGCCCATGGATGTCCAACGGTGTCCAGAGATGTTCAGCAGTGTCCAGCAGTGCCCAGCAATGTCCAGTGATGTCCAGGAATGTCCAGCAGTGTCCAGTGGAGTCCAGCAATGCCCAGGGATGTCCAAGGATGACCAGCTGGATCACTGAGGAGAACGAGGGGAATATGCCTGGGTTTATCCACAAGGTCTTCCAGGATGGTGTCCAGTTCTAGGCCTCTCAAGTCAGGAAGGACATTGAGGGGCTGGAGTGAGTCCAGAGAAGGGCAACGGAGCTGATGAAGGATCTGGAGCACAAGTCCTGTGAGGAGCAGCTGAGGGAGCTGGGGGGACTCAGCCTGGAGAAAAGGAGGCTCAGAGGAGACCTTGTGGCTCTCTGTAACTCCCTGAGAGGAGGTTGTAGCCAGGTGGGTTCAGCCTCTTCTCCC